GATATCTATTCTATAAATTATAAAATTTTGAAACAAAGTAAATAACAACAAGAGATGTTATGTAGCTTTATAATGGTTTATTAGTGACGGTGGATTGAAGATTTAAACATTAACTTGGTTCTGTGTAAATTTTAGATATTAAAATATAAATAAATAAATAAATAATCTGACGTGAAAATTCAGAAACAATAAAATATGCAATGTACATCTGACATAGTATTCAACCAAAAAAACTCTGCACACATAAATTATTTTAACTACAAAATTCTTGTTGTGATTTGTTTTGTTATGGAATGGGTTGCCACGTCGGATCATGCGCATGTGGCATGCCACGTTGGATTTTACCAAAGACGGAAAATCGCGCCAATTTATCAACGTTAAAAATAGTGTAATAGAACATCATTAAGTAACCCAATTTATTGTGTAAACAAGTAAAAGTCGTTGCATTGTCGAAGGGAACTTTTGCCTCATGACCAATATCTACCCTACTTTTCTGGATTTATGGTAACCGGAGACCGTGGAGTGTAGCAGTGAACGGGAATAGGATAATGGCCAGACAGCTAAGTGTCATGAAAAGATGACGGGCTCAGGGAACATTCGAAGCGGGCGTAGTGTGAACACGAAAAAGGGACAACGTTATTTGGGGAGGGGGTGGACAATAGGTGCGCCGTGTGAACGGAACTTGAAAAGGAAGGGAACGGGGATTATGATGAGAACGAGAGTTGGGAACGCAGTCAACCCAACTGTAAACAGGAGGGAGGACTGGGATAGGTGTGGACAGGTGTCCACATCCAGTTGGTGAGCCTCATTAATTCTACTGGTGCTGCTTAACACCACTTGACACGAAATTCTCCAAAGATGAACCAAAATGGTTGTGATTGTCATTTCTTAAATCATCACCTTTTACCATAGACAACAACCAAATAATTACATACACGATGGAATAAGGATTGAAAGATAAATTGTTAATCTAAATGAACAAATTCAAACATTTGATATATCATATCAATCAACAAAACATTTCTATTAGTAAGAATTTAATATTTTTATTTTTATTTTTTATATGTAAGTAGGTGTCAAAGAAAAAACTCAAAGGACGTAAATAAACAAGCAAGATGTAGATCAAAGAGAGATGACAAAAATAAAGAGAAAATTACGTATTTTCAAATAGAATCAAAAATAGCTATTGCCAAATCAAAAAGACTAGAGAATCTTGAAATTAGACTAGAAGCAAGAGAGGCATTAATAAGAGTGAAGAAGGCCACACTTTTTCTTCTATGTATATATATATATATATATATATATCTAACTAAGGAGATGTCAAGGACAAGAATTTGATGAAAACAAATAAATAAGTGAGACTTTCTCAAAGAAGTATGACAAAATAAAAATAAGAAAATATTTATATTTAAAAGAAATTAGAATGGCTATTGCCAAAAGACGAGAAAACTAGAGACTTCTTGAAACTATACTAGAAAAAAAAAAAAAAAATTACAAGAATAAAGAAGACTTCATTCTTACCTCTACAAAATACTATCTTCTTAAGAGCTCTGTTGTAATGTTTTATATGACCTCCAAAACGTATTGACTTTGCACAATATGTATCTTAATTTGCAAAGAAAGTTTCTATATGTGTCCATATAGTTAGCTTGTTTTGCAAGCTATTAACACATATGATATGTAGTTAATTTGTTGACCAAGTTTTTAACCTATCAATCAATTATAAACACATATAAAGTCAAAATAGGATTTATGAAGCTTTTAAGAAGCTTTTGTAGAAGATATTATGAAATTAATCTACTTTTACATATTTCTAAATATATATATATATATATATATATAATTATAATAAATGTATGTGTGACATTATCCTTCCTTCTATGGATAAGTCCTACGAGGAGCGATGATTACATATTGAAGAAGTCTAAGATATGACAAATTGTATTTGCCACATATTCTAATCTTTATTTCTTTTGAAGGTAGTTGATAGGTCTTCTCAGCCATTAGTAATGTTCTATTCCAAGGCAAGAAGACTACCCTATTATTTGACCATTGTTGAAACCTCTGTAACTTCTTTAAAACAAAATATTTATAATACCAATAGGAATCATTTCTACTTTTAATAAAATTACCAAATATTAAGACTCTCTTCTTAGGTTGTGATATCATACGCATTTTAACTTGCTATTTATTCAAAGAAGAACTTATCATTCTTAAAGTTCTTCAATCTTATTATGTCGTCTTGAAGGTTGTGATAATTATAATATCTCATTCAATAAGTTAATAAATGATGGTTCTTAAGTTGAATTTATTGGCTGTTGATTCTTCATCTCTTTAATGCCACAATTACATAAAAACTACAAACAAAGATAGAAGATAGATTGCAATCTTTTCTAAATTGTATTTTTTTTTATAGAAAAGATTTGCTATCCTTCATCTTGATTTTGCTAGATGTTGTTGATGAAAAGCTTTGACCTTCTTTGCTACATTTGTAAGATTCTTTGCTAGCTCCCATGTTCGTTTCCAAATATTGTATCCACACCAATGAATAAGATATTACAACCTAAGTTGGCACATCTTCAAATCTAAGATTTCTTCCATCTTGAGTTCTTGATTATTATCCACTTCTAAAAGAAGTAGTGATAATTGTCTTCTTCTCGGGATATTCATTATCTTATAAGGCTCCAAAAGAGATACATGAAATATGGAATGGATTTTTATAGACTAATGAAGAAGTAATCAATAAGAAATTAGATTGATTTATTTATGAATATGAAATGGTTCAAGTCTATGGTAATCCAAGTTGTTACAAGTGCAAATAATTTTAATATTACAACAAGATAACTATATCTTATAATCAACGTCAAAATGAGGTTGTTCTTTGTAATAGGCATCTTCATTGTTTTATTTTTTATTTATTTATTTATTTTATTGTTTATTGTTCTTGAGCCTCTTTTAGTTGCTCCTTCATTTGTTGTGTGTAATTGAGTTAAATGATTTGCCAAATCTTCTACCATAAGATTATTAATTTTTAAAAAGTCAAAAGTATAAAGTCATGGATGATAACCATAATTAGCAAAGAAAAATATTTATTGTATAGAAGGATATATTGCATTATTATAAACAAACTTTGTTAATGGCAAGAAAATTGTCCAATCAACTTATTGGTAGTTGATGGTATACCTCAAATACTGCTCCAAAACTTAATTTACATGATTTATTAGTCCATTTGTTTGAGGATGGAAAACAAAAGATAGTTTTATGTCCATTTTTAGAATCTTAAAAAGAATTTTCTAAAATCTTGATACAAACTAAGTTCCTCTATTTGATATAATATCCTTAGGCAATCCATAATAAGGATAGATATTGTCAAAGAAAAGCTTAGTTGTTTTTTCACTTGTGATAGATTTTATACATGATACAAAATGTACCATCTTGATGAAATAATCTACTATCACAAATATATAGTCATAAGTCTTAAAATTAAATGTCTTTTATTTTTTTGTCTTTTTTTTTATTTTTTTTATTTTTTATTTTTTCTGTATAAGAATATATGAATATTTCATCTAAATAGATTTTTTTTGTATAATTATAAATTTCAAAATTAGTCATTCATAAGTTCAAGAAAAATAGTATTAGATTTTTAATATCTAGATTTCTTAATTTTTCTTATTAGTTCCATTTTATATTTAAATTGATACCTTTTAATCTAATATGTTGACTACTTATTTTATTTTATTTTAGAAATTTTCTTGCTTTCTTTAAATTAATACTTAAATATTGTTGTTTCTTTAAATAAATATCGACAATTAATCAACTTTTGAATTTGTGTACATTAAGAATCTATAAATTGTAGAAATCAATAATCATTAATCTTTCTTTTTGACACATAACACCAGATATATGTATGTATATATGTGTGTCTATGTATGTGTGTTTTTTTTTACAGTTTTTTAATTTTTTGAACAAAAGTTTTAGTTACTAAATATATATATTTATATGTTTTTAAAAATTAAAAATTAATTTGAATTAGAAATATAATTTTCTCATATTTAAATACTTATGTATGGAACACTATAATATTTTTTTTATTTAAATGTCTATATTTTATTAATTTACTTGAATATAATTTTTTATTAAGATATATGTCTGTTTGTTTGTCTGTCTACATGTCTATGTAAATATATACATACATACATACATATACATACATATACATACATACATACATTTGTTTAAGTAAAGTACACATCTTATTTTTTATACATATTTTTATTATTTTACTCGTAGATAAATTCTATACTAAAGGTGTATAATTTGTATCATCTATATTCTGACTTAAATAATTCTAACTTTAATTCAGTAATACTATACTTTCAAGTTGTTCATACATACATAGTGGAATGTTTTTTTCTATTTACAAATGCATGTTCATTAAATATAAAAATTAATCATTGGTTTGATGTCAGAAAGTGTTGTCAAGATATCAATCCATAGTGGTTTGATTGGACCATGTCAAATCTGTCAATTTCAACACTTTCCTCTATTTCTCGGCTTTGTTGCCCCTAACTGTGTATGATTTATCATGTCTGTCATGTTTTCTTTTAATAATTTACAAAAGCATCCATCAATACTCATCCAGAAATTCTCTAAAATCACCTTCCCAATACATCACGAAACTTTTAAATTCATTCATGTAATCCATAATGATTGAAAAACTTACACTCACATCAAACTTTTAAGACTACTTTTAAAGTCGGACATTACGTTTTCAGCGATGTACAGGGGTCACCTTTGGGGCGAGGTGGGGGGGATGTGTCGGTGGTACAGAGGGCAAGAAGCAGCAGGCATCGAGGCCCAGGCGCAGGCCCCGGCGTCGCGGCGGAGGCACTGGGCCAGCCCAGCCCAGGCATGGGCACCAGGAGGTAGCGAGGAGGTGAGGCGAGGCGAGGGTGAAAGCCGTGAAGGAAAGAAAGGGACATGAGCGCTGCAGACGGGTATGCGAGACTGGGTCCAGGAAAGGAGAGCGAGAGAGAGAATTGTGCCCCATGTGACTCCTTCCCCCTTCCCCATAGATCAGTTAGTCAGTGAGTCAGTGAGTCACCTCTGATGGGGGTCACGCACTGCAGGTATAGGTAGGTACAGGGATGTATGCACTGTGCTACTCTACTGTACAATAATCTACTTAAGAGTAAACGGTATGGTAGATTAGAGTGGAGTGGAGTGGAGTGGAATGGAGTAGAGTAGAGTTGAGCCCACTCGAGGAAGCGTCGTTGCCTAGTACCCTGGAATCCATGCCATGGCATCGCTGGGCGTGAGCTGGGGGATGGAGACAACTGCGAGGAGCTGTAGGTTGGGCCCTACTTGTACTGCTGCTGCCGCCTAGTGGGTTGGGAATAGGAGCAGGAGGAAGAATTCAGGGGTGGGGAATCGATTTTCGTAGGCGTCTTTGGGAAAACCGTCTTGGATACTTTGAATCGCCTTTCTAGGGCGGCACAGGAGTTATGGCCAAGAGTGGCAACAATAATGTGGGTAGGGGGGGGTGGGAACGGCTTAAGCTGGGGCGAAGTATGCGGACGGGGGTAGAAGAGTCTGCAGTGAGAGAGGAACCGGGATTAGTCAAAGCTGCGTCAGTTGAAAGACCGCCACCAATTCAATGATCGCGGTCTCTTGCCTTGTTCTGCTGTTCGCCTTGAAATCAGAAATCTACTCGATCGTCTTCGCAGCCGTCGTCGTCATCGTCATCGTTGTTGTTGTTTTTGTTGGTTTTTCCTCTTTCGGCTTCATCTCCATCTCCCTCGAATTGTCTACGCTTCACACCCGTGGCTTCTATCTTCACTACAGTTGCTCTGGACCCAGCTCATCAACTCGCCCAATTTCTGCTTTTGAAAACAATTCCTGCATTCCGATTTCAAGTGTTCGACGATTTGGCTTCACGGATTTCAGTTCTGATTTTTGAAGGTGATTTTCTCGTTTTTTCCTGTTGTTGCTGCTGCTGGCAGCCCTTTGATTAGTTCGGAACAGTTTTCTTCTGGTTAATTTGGCAATCCAGTCTTGAAGTAGCTGTGTTTATTCGTTGGAAAGGTTGGTCTGTGAATTTAGGTAGCGACTGGAATAGTTGTGGAAGGTCTTCTGGAAGATGGATGCTGAGTGAGCCATACACGAGGCCTGATCATCTGCATCAATAGAAGTGTGATATTTCAATCCAGGTTGAGTTGGCTGGATTGATTGTGGGTAGGGGAGGCTGGATACCTTTGTCAGCTGTTCACTCTTTCCATTCGCTCGCAGTGTATCTGGCAGATTCTTCTGCCTCGAGCACAATCGGGTTTCTTCTGCGTGTATCGTCATTTTTGGGCTTCAGGCTAGCTGCGACGCTATGAAAGTATCGTGTGGTCGTTGATTTGGTAATTCAAGCTCCCATTGCACAGTTCCGGGATGTGACTTGCAGGGTACAGCTTTTGTCCTAGAGTTTCCATCGAGACCCCAACAGCGTGTTAAGTGCAGCATCTTTTGGTGAAAACCGTGCGAATGTTTTCCCCTGTTTTTTTATACTTATTTTAGGATCATCGTTTACATTTATTCCTTTGTCTGAAAATGGTGAATATGTTCAAATGACTACCCACTGAAGATTTTTCTGTTCCTCACGTTCACTTCGGAGAATTGGCCCTCTCGAAAGTTGTGCGATTGGGTCCAATTTATTCAAAAAAGTAAAAATTCTGGAAGTGCGTAAGGTAGATGTGAATGGTGAAGTGGAGTTTTTGGTGGGGTACTTTGATCTGAAGATCTGGAATGATGTTTTTTTGTTGTAATTTGGTAGAAATCAATGGTTCAAAGACTTTCCTAATCTTTTTTCCCATACAGTAATTCTGATCATCTTTGATTTCGGTATCAATTTTCTCTATTATTCACTCTTCTTCAGAGCGCATTCAAAGAGTTTCTTGAGCTGGAACAATTCACCTGAGGAATCGTACTGCATTGATAGCAGATGACTTGGTGCAGTATTACGCTAGGAAAGTAGTATTTTTGTTTCCGCTGCAGGTGTAAATCGTGATACGCTAAGTCTTGAACAAGAGGTTGAAGCATTTGTCTTTTTCTGAATCGCAATGTTCGATTGGGTCTCATCTTCTTTTTCTTCTCCCCCTTTTTTTTTTTTTTTTTTTTTTTTTTTTTGTAGCTCAACCTGTGAACCACGCCCAGGTCCAAGTCTGGAATAGAAAGATTGCGAGAAGAATAATCACCGTCGCCTAAGCATGCATTACTGATAAAAGATCCAGGACAAGTGAATGCGGCGTTTGATGATGTTTCACATCAAGTTTGAGCTTTAGTTTCGGAGTGTAAGGATTCGACATCAATGGGGGCTGACGATGGTATTGAGGTCTTTAAGGCTCGCGCACAGTATATGCGCGAAATCTTAGAAAAGAGCCAATCAATTACAGATTCCGTAATCACAATCTTGGGTTCCTTCGACGATCGGCTATCTACTCTCGAGGCTGCTATGCGCCCGACTCAAGTACTTATCACTGCTCTCACTCTTCGTCCTTTTTGTTTAATGTGTACACTTCTGGCACGTTTTATGAAGAAATTAATCAGCGGCTCTTAATGCTCGCTAGTCCAGTGGGCATGACATTTATAAAATAATTCCATATTGAGAAACTTTACGATAATGTAGTGTGGGATATTTGTATATACACCAGCAAAATGCTGGCAGCAATATTAGTCCTGAATGCACAATGTGCATCTCTTCATCAATGACAAGTATGTGTTTCAACGGGGAAGACCCTTGTGCGGTATCCATCTGGGTGTAGGTGAAGACGCAAGCTTTTCGAAAAGCACATGAAAATATTGATGGTACCTGTCATGAAGTTCGATCTGTGCTGCAGCAATTTGAGGTTGCTCGTCAGGTATAATATGCGCTCCATTTCTTTCGTTATTTGGGGTTGAGCTTATGTGTGCACAGAGAATTGATCCGGAAACACCGAATCATTCTGTTTTGTTGAGCCTGTGCGTGTTTTTGTCTGAAGGTGGAAAGTAAGGTTCTTCTGGGCCCAAAGAGCGATCTAGGTGGCTTTTTGGAAGCTTGTGACACGCTCCAGAAAAATGTTGAGTATCTAACGCTTAACCGAAGTTTGGAAGCCAGCGACTCTGCTCTGGATCATGCCAGAGATTTGTTCGGCAAGGGCATGATCCGTCTTGAAGAACATTTCAAGGTGCTTCTAACTAATCACAGGTTAGTTTCGGAGGTGGAAACCTTGGTTCCATTTAGCTGATGTCTCTGGTGTTGTTTGAAGGAATTTGTCTCTTGGTGATTAAAAGAATGTTTCGTCTTCTCCACGTGAGGATAGCAATTTCGGAGAGGAGTTTACATCAACTGTAATTTGTGAGTGCGAGAGGGTGAATGATGGGAATATTATGTATTACCACTTGCATGTCTGCGACCCTCACACTTAGGGCTATCTTGTTTTGTCTTACTGTCTAGTAAGCCTGCAGATCCTGCTCGACTCATGGAAACATTGCCGATGCCTGGGAAGAATGTGCCAGAGGCCGCACAGAATGGTGGAGGTGAGGAGGTGAAGCTTTTACTCACAAATATTCCTTACAATGATAAGGCTCTTAATCCACCAACTCTTCCAGTCCTAATATCACCAAGAATCGTTCCTCAACTGGCTGAGATGGCACAACGCTTAGTCGCTGCTGGTCTTCATCAACAGTGCCTAAGGATCTATCGGTATGTATCTATAAGTTTCACTCATTGTTGTTGAACTGGCTTCATTGATACGAGACATTGGCAATCGAGGACATGAATAATAATTAACCTTTTACTTATAGAGGGACATCACAATGTACTTCCCGGTTTCGAAACGTTTCTTCAGTTCCGAAAGTCGCTGCAAACAGGGAGTTTATTAAATTGCTGGGTCTGAAAAGTCTTTGATATAATACGAACTCAGTCGGGTGCAGCGTGTTAGCAGTTTAGTGGCATTGACATGGGGGCACAGGGATGTGAGAGGTTCGAATTTGGAAAAGAGTCTGCGGAATTTGGGGGTGGAAAGTCTGAGCAAAGATGATATAATCAAAACACCGTGGGAGTCGCTTGAGGGAAAGATTACCAATTGGATACAGTACATGCGAATTGCTGTAAGTATGTTGCACTGCCTTCCACTACATTGAATTTCCTCATAAAATTTCACTGGCTCTCTTCATCAGTTAACCAGAGAAAAGTTAATTAACTCTCTCAGTTCCTAAGCGTTCTATAGGTATTTCGAAATTACGAAGTTCTCCCTTTTTGAGCACTTATTTTATTATATTTTATTCCATGTTACACTTGAATTTCAACTTTGTTGGCAATGTGTGTTCAGATTAAACTTCTCTTTTCCGCTGAGCGGAAGCTGTGTGAGCAGATATGGTTCCGCCTCGACCCTCACAGAGAGAAATGTTTTGCGGACGTGACTGATTCTAGTGTTCACATGCTGTTGAGTTTCGGAGAATCCATAGCCAAGAGCAAAAAGGCAACAGAAAAGCTCTTTGTGTTCCTTGACATGTATGAAACTATGCGTGACCTTCGGCCTGAGGTGAGCCTCATCGCCTTTCTTAACGACTGAAACCATTTCACTCCCGTCTGGCTTCGATTGATGATTGTGTTGCTATGTGTGTTTGTAGCTTACGATGCTTCTGATTTGTGAATTTGAACTGTTTTATTGCTATGTAATGAGGGGATAGTAGTAGTCGGGTTTTGCACCAATTTCAAAACCCTTTCACGACAAGTATGATTCAACTGTTTCCATTCTACATCAAATTCTACACTGTCGTAAAAAATGTACTCCTAATCATATGGGTCACTTTGTGGTGCGCATGGTGTCAGATTGAAATTGTTTTTTCAGGCGAAGCAGCCTCAGGCATGCGGGAGGCAGCGACAGGGCTTATCAAGCGGTTGGGTCAGACAGCTAAAGACACTTTTGCAGACTTTGAAGATGCAGTGAACAAAGATGCAACTAAAACACTAATTCCGGATGGGACGGTCCATATGCTTACTAGTTATGTGATCAATTACGTCAAGTTTCTGCTGGAGTAAGTAATGACTGAAGCGCGCCCTGTGCACAGCATGTTTTTATTTCGGCTTGCTTTTTCATCTTTCTGATTTGAGTAAATTTGCCGTCCCTCTTCAGTAAGAATTCCGTCGTACATCATTCCTGTCTTCCTTCTGAAAGTTTCAAGCTTGTGTTTTTGGTAATCTTGTTTTGCATTAACCTGCTTCCATCTGGATACGAAGTTTCTTTCATAGTAGCAATAGTCCAATGCTGCTTCAGATGATGTGTCCGCATTGTGGACACTGATACTATTCTATTCCTCACATGTACAGATCTGAACTGATTGATCATGAGCCTGAAATGTGATGCAGCAGCTATCAGAACTCATTGAACGAATTGTTCTCAGGCAGCGCAAACGGCGACAAGTCGTCATATTTGGCATCTGCTATCCTGCGCATAATGACAGCGTTGCAAACTAATCTAGAAGGGAAAGCGAAATTATACAAAGACGTTGCGCTTTCTCACTTGTTCCTGATGAATAATATACATTATATGGTGAGATCTGTCCGCAGGTAATATATGTCGACTAAACAGGCGACTGCCCCACTGCAAGTCATTGTACTAAATGTATTGCATAACCTATATGAATCCTTTCTCTATATATTTTTCCTCATTTCATAATAATGACTCGTGCAGATCAGAAACAAAGGATGTTTTGGGTGACGATTGGGTACAGAGACAGCGAAGGGTTGTGCAGCAGCACAACATGTTTTACCAACGAGCTGCCTGGAACAAGGTCTGTAACTAACCTGAGACCTTGCTCTACACCAACAAATTCCGTATCATTTTGTTCCGTTGGGGCATCGGAGAGTTCTAGAACGCCTCTTTTGATACGATTTTTTCTTTTTCACGTATAGTTCTGAACTGTTTGATTGTCGTACAATCTCTCAGGTATTACTGTACATCACCGGGGCAGGAAACGGATCCAGTTCTGGCGATGGCGGCAATATTTCTAAGACTCAGCTCAAAGAGAGGTTTGACTCGATTTCTTCATGATAATTCTTCCAGTTCTCAACCGGGATATTCTTTATGCTCTCTGATAACCTCTGATCCCCTCTGACGAGCGGTTTGTTGGAAGAGTGAGCGGTGACACTCGATTGTATTTATCGCCTTGCTCAGGTTGAAGGGCTTCAGCTTAACATTCGAAGATCTGTATATGCGCCAAACGCAATGGACAGTACCTGAAAATGAGCTGAGAGAGGCAGTAAGACTGCATGCCCAGGAGATTATTCTCCCTGCCTACCGCGCCTTTCTGAAGCGTCACAGGTATCATGCAAATGGGTCTCTTGTATTCAAACATATTTTTTTTACTGTTGTTGTTTATCCTATTGTGGTTTTTCGAGCATTAGTTCGTTTAACCACAAAAATGAGAGACATTTGTCTGAGTCAATCATTTCCATGGCATTGCAGCACTATTCTTGAGGGAAAACAAAGCGTGAGCAAGCACTTGAAGTACACCCCCGATGATCTAGAACACATGCTGAATGAGTTGTTCGAAGGCAAGTCTCGGCATGAACCCAGAGCGCCAGGGCGAGTACCAAGCCGTTAACAGGCTTGGCCTTTTGTTAATATGTTGAACAAGCACCTCTATTATTTTGTGAAAATAACACTAAACATTGGTGTAACTCAAGTATATAAATATTTGGTAGGGTAATGACTGTCATTTTTATGTAGTGACGACACAATAGTGATGTATCTACTTTTTTTCCTCTTCTTGTTCCTCTTTGATATTCGTTTATAGTTTTTGATTTTTTTGGTTGCTGTCAACTGTAGCACTGGAAACACATCACAGTAAACGCACATTTGTGAAGTGCATAATTTAGACTTAGCTTTAGGATAGTGAGTGTTCATTTAGAGTGCTTCGTCCATCAAGTTACCAGGCACCATAGAAGAGATTCAAAAGCTTGAATTTCACTTTTTATTTATGGTGAAGTCTTTTTGAAAGAAAAAAATAATAATAAAAATTCATTCAAAAATCAATGTAATATATATATTTGAAAAATAAATACTAGTCGAAAAATTCAAGTTATAACAACACTTCTTGAGTGGAAAATATACTTGATGGTAGTTAGGATATAGAGAACACATTACTAATTAATTCTATTAAGATGGAATACGTTCCATTTTTTGGTATGAATAGACTCTATATTTGTAATATCAGTAATTTGAATCTGATATCCAAAAAAAAATTCCTGAAGAGTAAAAACACTCTCAGGAGTTTCTTCAAATGAAGAGAGCATAATTTCAGCCACATCTCAGCAGATGGACAATTGGTAAGTTTTTCAAGTACTTTCTAAGGAATACACTTGCTTATAAACATCCGAGCATTAGCATTCTTTTCATCCGTAGTATCAAGCAGCACTTGATCTTCGAGAGTGATGTGAAGTGTGTCAAGAATAGGTCGTTTCTCAAAACCATTTTGTAAGACTTTCTTAGCTTTGAAAATGATTTTCATATGGTATTTCTAGATTGAAAACTGAGTACCATCAAACATCTTGATTGGAATTTTATTATGTTTGTCTATAATGTAACAGAGCTTCCAAACGGAGTGAGGAAAAGGAAAAATGAATATGAACGTACAAGATAAACAGTTTACAAGATACAGAAAAACTTAAAAACAGAGTAACAGTTTAGAATGTAGAACCTAGCTCTCTGACGGGGAAATTTATTATCTCATTTGGTACAAGAGATCATATAAGTAATAGCAATTAGAGACTCCTTGTTTAATTGCGGATTCATCGTTCGTATCAGTAGTAAACACCGTGATCATGTCTGCATTGACCTTGATGGCAATTCTTGGTGCAACTTTGGCAGCAAAGATAGCAATGCAGCTGCAGCGATCCATGTCGATGTTGGTACAGAAAACTGTAAAAGGTAGTTACAGTGGAGTGAAAGTATTGAAAATATATAACCCGCAATCACCGTCGCCTCTACTATTTACAGATAGTAAGAAATAATTGGAGTTTGCAACAATGTAAGGAGTCTGGAGTATCATCAAGAACTATTTTGAACGGGAAAAAATATTACTCTTACAACGACCATATATCTATGTGCAGATAGAATATGTGGAAATCCGAATTTGAATTGTGAAGGGAAAACAGAAATATACGCGGCACAACTTACTTGCGAGGAACGGCCCATAACCTAAAAGATTTTATTCTTTCTATAAGCACATACATAGTAAAGCGGTAAACTCATCTTTATTTATTTATTTATACTCAATTCTCTAGTGACTTCAGAGCTGTAGACACGGTGCTTCTAACTGCGTACGCTAAGGATGCGGTGGTGGGTAAGATCCAGCAAGCCACCAATGCTGCAGTGGATGCCAAGGATACCACGGTGCAGAAATCTATGGAGACTTACAATGCTGCCTCAACGAAGGCAGCGGACACAACCAATGCTACAAAGGATCAGAGCTTGGCCGCCAAGGATGTCATTGTGGAAAAGGCCAACGGGGCATACCACTACGGTGCGGACACCGCCAATGCAGTTGCTCAGAAGCTGTGGCAGCCAAAGACACGACAGTTCACGCAGCCGCTGATACCTACAACGCTGCTGCCACAAAGACAGTGCAAACGAAGGATGCGGCTGTCCAAGCGACAGCGAATGCATGCAATGCTGCTGCACAGAAGGCTGTTGATGCCAAGGATGCGACTGTAGATGCCGCAGGGCAGACATACAACATGGTTGCTGAGAAGGATGTAGCTGCGAAGGACGCGACCGTAAACACCGATGCCGAGAACACTCACTCAGACCCCAGCCAATCGTAAGTAGAAATTGCAGATCACAACTAGCAAACACCATGTAAAGCTCGTGTCAAAGCACGCCACTAGAACCAACTAGGTGGCTAGGATCACAGATTCATCGCCATAGCTGTGGATTGCAGGTCAAACACGGTCAGTTTATATATGACATTTTTTTACAAAAAGTGGAGGAGCTGCATTTGGAATCTATCTATTCGATCGACTTCACGGTTGCTGTTGTTGCTTTCGTATAGTATGTGTACATATTTTTCTCATCTTATTACTTGTGTCAGATTTCTTACAAACCTTGTTCTTGCAGAAAAGAAGCTGTCATGGTTAGAAAAAATGCCTTTAGGTTGTATCTGTTTTTATAGTTTGCATGACCTCAAGTTTTCCTTTCATGGGGTCTTTCTCCTCCTTCCCATTGCAATGTCGCAAACACAAGAGATGTCTTGCTTGATGCCAAAAGTGGATTTTTTACTAACTTAGTGTAATATGTGTGTTTTCTTTGCATCCCCTTTTTGACTTAAGTGATTTTGGATGTCGTCATGTAAGCAATCATTTTTTCTTACTTACAACTTATATTTGCCTTATTAGTAATTCCATAACCTCCAATTTTCTTATTGCATTGTGTTATATAAAGCCAAATGTAATATAAGTTGCATTAATTGATTCACTGGTGTATTTTTTAGATTTTTGGTTTTTTTATAATAAAATAAAAAAATAGATACCTTTACAAATGCACAAATATTTTATCTCTTATTGCATTATTTTTTTCTAATTATAATATTTACTTGTCCTATCTTCTTATACTACATTGTTTGTATAGAAGATATTAGTCTTTGTGAAATTTTATTTTTATTATTCACAAACAATTTGAACACCTAGATGTAAAAGATTAGGTGAAAATATAATCACTGTTGTATCTCTAATGCATAGTTGTTCTTTTTATTTTTTTTTATAGTTTTTTGGTTTTTTTATTTTTAAAATTAACATTATGCAATTCTTTCAATTTTAAAAAATCTTGTCTACTTCTAGATCCACTTAGAAAAGAGTTTTTTTTGGATGTGGACATGTAACTTGTAGAATGAGCATTTTGTCATCCACTTAAAATTAGACATTCTTATACTAAAGTTGGATCTTTTTGAAGCAATTCTGTGTAGTTTCAAGGATTAACTCCCTTTGAGCTATCCACATTGTTCTTCCATCAAAAAAAAATCTTTGTATATGTTCATCTTTCAATCTTGTACAAATATGGTATAATGGTCTTAGTGTTTCAAAGCCACATAATACTTTGAATGGTGAGAATCTCAATAACATTGTAGGAGTTGTATTAGAACCAAATTCTATCAAATATAGCTTTTGTACTCAATTACTATCAATGGTAGCCATAGGATGTCTCAAGAACATATTGAAAATTTTGTTCATCCTCTCTATTTGGCTATTGTCTTCTAAATGCCAAGTTGTTAATATTCCTACAATAGTATCCAACTTGTTCATAGTAATATTTCAAAACATGATGTAGAATTGGACATCCCAATCACTTAAATTAATTTGAAGTAATCTATACAAATCTAACATGTTTTACAAAGAACAAAGTTACAAAAAAACATAAGCTCTGATTTGTGGTTATTATTTTATTTTATAATTGAACCTTGTTGTCTTACTCAGCCTATTAAACACAACTAAAGTTGCATCATATTTTCTATACTTCGAAAACCTACTCATAGAATCCAAAGAAATATACTTTGAAAGGTATTATTGGCACCGTTTTCTTATTTTGCTTTGTTTTGTTGTTTTATTTTGATTTTGTTTCTTTGTCAAAGGCACTTTTGTGAGTCTTCTTTGTAATTGAGTTGTTTTTGGCATTGCCTTTGACATAGGCTTTTACCATTGTCAAAGCACTCTTATTAGTTCCATGCCCTCCTTTTATCCCTTATTGTAAAAAATATTTGTGCTTATTCTACAATATTGTCTTCAATGACATTGTGTCACACAATAAAGTTTGTGCAAATTCTTCCTTCTCACAATACATGATTTCAAGATTTATTTGACCATCAAATGAGAGATGGGATCATGGTAGTCTTTCTCTACAATTTAAGATGATGAACTTGGTTCTTTTGTTAATAAAGAAGGACTGGAACAACAAGACTCCAATCTCCAGACCTCATTCTTTGTCTTTATATAAATGTGAGTTGTTGGATGAAATTAGGAGTTTGTTGAGAAACAAGTTTTTAAAGAAACCTCAATTGAATAAAAAGAAAAATTGATCATAAGATTGAATAGATGCTACGTGCCAAACACTTTGTAAACTAGTTTTAGTAAACAAGTTTAAAGATCATATTTTTCAATGATTTTTTTTTTTTTTTTTTTTTTTTTTTTTTGTTTGGTTTCCACAATTGTTTAATTTTTGAAGTACTTCTGTAAGAAATTTGTGACATTCACTGTTCTTTCCATAAATGTGTGCATTTTAGGTTGACACATTAAAACTTGTAATGCACACAGATTATCAGCTTTGATCAGTTATGTGATAATTTTTACTCTTTTTAAAGTTTATTGAAATTATCACATTACAAGTTTTTGCTTAATATATGCATTGCATAATGCAATGGTGTTTTATTTTTTGTTTTTGTTTTATTTTGTTTTTTTTTTTTTTTTCATTTTGAAAAGGACTTTTAATACAGTGTCTAAATTTTATTGATACTTAGGTACTCTTATGATTAATTATTATTTATTTATTTATGGATCTCTTGATGCATTTTAGCTTTCATAAAATAAAATGTTATCACATGTCATTGTATTGCAACTAGATTTTAAAAATAAATCATTAATGTTTTACAAACTTATCACTTTTAGATTCAAATTCTTATTCATAATTATTATTATATTGATACATTATCTTTGAAATACTTTGTGTGTATATATATATATATATATATATATATAAAGAGAGAGAGTTTTCTGGAAAAAATCTCGAGTTACAATGTTTAGATGCAGCCATGATTAAGTAACACCACAAGGTTGTAATATTTTGATTTCACCATATTCTTTTCATTTTCATACGAAAATATTTTTGGAAAATATTTTTCACATGAGCACAGGCATTGTAAAATGTCATGTTGTATCATCACTTTTGTTCTTAATGAATAATGTAGAAATAAATTTACAAATAAATGAGTAAATAAATCAGCCGTTTTTGTTTCTGTTTAAGAAATTTATATAAGTCTTTCACGACAT